AACCCTAAACCCTAGGGTTTAAGGTTCAGGATGCTCAGTCCTGTTTCAGCGTGGCATCCAAGGCCTTATGGACCGCGGTTCACAACCTTTCAAGACATGACACGTCTTGGAAATCCGAGACCGGAGAGCATGGAATCCTAACCCCCCAGGTACCTAGTACCCTAGGGCCCTAAATAGAGGTACCTGGGGGTTAGGGGAACCTCAAAAAGAGGTAAACCCGAAGCCCTGACCTTGACAAGAGCTTCTCATTCCTGAGTCATAGCATCGGCTGCGCCTTTTTGGACAAATGATCTCCAAGTTTCGAGTTGAGTCTAGTATCCCTTACGGTACCCTTTCAGGAACCCTTCTACATTCTAGCAACCCGAAGCCCTCACCCTTAAACCCAAACTCTTCTGGTACCTCCTAAACCCTAAGCCCCCAAGTACCTACTATATAGGGTACAAGAGCCCCTAAGGCCCTGTATAGTAGGCACCTGGAGGGTTACCGCGAACCGCAAAAAGTTGGAACATGGGTTTAGGAGGATTAGTGCTAGAATCCCTTCTACTTGACCTTAAGGGCATGAGGATAATGATGTTCCAACTTTCTGGCTTCTACTTTAGGGTTAACTAAACCCTAAACCCCCCAAGTTCAGCGGCCAGTTGAAAGAAGTCAGTCACGGCTACGGAGATGACCCACAAGCCGTTGAGTGGGATCTCCTGAAGGCAAGGAGGGGGGGTTAGGTTTGGGGGTTTAGGGGTTACCGGCTTAGGGGTTTAGGGTTTAGGGGTTTAGGGGTTTATGCGATATGGTTTAGGGTTTAGGGTGAGTCTACACTGCTTCTTTAATTAGGGGGGGGTGCAGGGTTTAGCATGGGGGCCTTAATGATTAGCAAGGGGGTTAGGGATATTTCGTGTTTAGTGTTTGGGGTTCTGGGGTTTAGGGTTTATAGGGTTGGGGGGGTTTGGGTTAAGGGTTTAATTGCGAGGGTTTTTATTCCAAGTTTGGGTTGCGTTTAACGCACGCTTGTTTTCCTTAGCATTCAATACAGAGGGCCTGAGTGTGTCGACGGGCTAGCAGCAGCAGTTGCGGGAAGAACAGAAGCCGGACCTGATCCATCTGCAGGCGCTCATTGCAGATGTGTTCAACACTACCGCGACTTGGTGAACCCAGAGACTCCAATACCCCTTAATTAAGGAATATGCCTTAACTCTTATTAGGGGTCCTACTATAATTTAAGGTATATTCCTTAACTAAGGGGTATTGGAGTCTCTGGGAGGATTCCNNGACCACACGCGGCTCCCTGCCAAACGAAATCAGACGTGGATCTCCGCCACTGGCAACAGGCCCTTGGCTTCTTCTGTCGATGAGTGCCGTACCCGAAGATGGCAGGTTGCTCATAGCATAACCCTATACACCTACTCTTGAAATAACCCCCAACCACTCAACCCTACACTCCTACACCCTCAACAACAAGGCTTTAGAGGGAGGCGGGGACGAAGCATTTTTGGAAAACTCTGACATCGTGTACATGATATCCGGTTTTTGGATTATAGGCACTACAACGTCATTCTCAAGTTTGGGGCCGTTCAGTCTTCAGGTTCACTATATAAGTGTATATCAGTCGAGGGCAGAGCCTCTATCTGTTTCCCGTGCTTCTGGGATTCGGGGACCCCTAAAGTTCAGGGAAGTCGCTAGGTTTCGGTCACTCGCCGTGGGTTTGCATACAGAGCTTATAGTAGTAGAGTAGGCAACGTTTAACGTTTATATAACCATTCTGGGGTTACTATATATCCCCTTTGTTAATCCCAAAAGGCGGCCCAATGGTAAACCTTTCATCCCCTTGGACACTGGACAAGTAAGAGAGTCAGCTCCAGCGGCTAGTCTTTCGTGGGTGGAGATCTCAAGCCCTAGCCCTAGACCGCAAGATGCCATTTCACCCGACACTCCTCAGCGCCCCCCCCCCCCCCCCCC